ATAATGACAGTCTAGTGTATATAAATTGTATAGTGCTAGTCTATTTAGAATATTTTTGTATAGTGACAGTCTATTTTGTAGTATATATTTTGTATAGTGACAATCTATTGTATATAAATTATATAGTCACAGTCTATTTTATATATTTTTTGTATAGTGACAGTCTATTTTGTATACTGACAGTCTATTTAGTATATATTTTGTATAATGACAGTCTATTTTATATAATTTTTGTATAGTTACAAATTCTTATTTTAGAACCACTAACATAAAAATGTTAGAATCCCGAGAACTTGAAATCTTAGCTCCACATGTGCCCCTCAATGTATACAAATTAATAAGCCATGAATGATTAAATCCTCCACCACTCCCACATTATACGTTTTTCCATAGTTTTCTCCATATATACAAACAGGAAGAGTGAGGCAAGGGAACATAAAATGGCAGTAATGACGACGGAAACTCCAAAGCGAGAAAGGACCATTGACTTTTAATGTGTTCTAAACTCTCTCACTGTCAAAGTTTAGAATATATTCCGATAATTTTTCATAGTCTCATCCGATTGATCGCAATCGACCGTGGTCTGAACATATCCTGCAATTTGTTTCTGTTGAGAGATGTAGACCCCACCTATTTAACTAAATCATAGTTAGTAGAGTAGTCAGTCTTATACTATACTATAGTGAGTAGTTAGGTTAGTTACAACTAACAAAGTGTATAAATAGTAGCCTAGTCTTAGCTCAATGTAACAGTGTGTGTATATTTTCTCTCAGCATATTGAAGTAACTGCTGCTTCTGCTTCTTTTCATTTCTTCTCATTTCTTCTTCTTCTCATATTTCTGCTTCTGTAACCGCCATAGCTGAAGCTTCTTGACATGGTATCAGAGCTCGGTTAAACGAGTTTTAGCTCAGTTGTGACGGATCTAATTGAATCAATTTCCTAAGTAGTTCTGATCAATTGAGCCAATTCTCAATCTGAATCTCATCCCTCTCAAGCTAAGAGTTCGAGATTTGTTCGATTGAGTCTAAATTGACAGTCAATAGCTGCATTACTACTCAATATCAGATTTCTAGGATATTTTCCTTCAATGTCTGCAACAATGCCGGGTAATGAAGAAGTTGCTAATAATCAGACCATCGCAAATCCAGTAGATCAAGTCGATCATCATCATCCTCTGTATATCCATCCATCTGATACACAAGGTTCTGTTCTCATCTCTATTTAACTACAAGGTTCTGAAAACTACTCTGTTTGGAGTAGATCATTGAAAATTGTGTTGCATGGTAAAAACAAATTAGGTTTTGTCTTAGGTACCTGCAAAAAAAGTAACTATGATGTTAGCCTTCATGATCTATGGGATAGGTGTAATGCAATAGTGTTGGCATGGATTATGAACACCGTAGCACCAAACTTGATTAGCACTGTCATCTATGCTTCTGATGCTTATACTGTTTGGGAGGATCTAAGGGAACGATTTGACAAAGTAAATGCATCTAGAGCTGTTTATCTACATAAAGAAATTGCTACTTTGACACAAGGAGTGTCCTCTGTGTCTGTATATTTCTCTCGTTTGAGAGAATTGTGGGATGAATATGAAACACTTACTCCACCACCTTCATGTGGTTGTCCTAAATCGAAGAAACATGTAGAACACTATCAACTTCAAAAGCTTTATTAGTTTCTGACAGGTCTCAATGACTCCTATGAGAATGCTAAAAATCAGGTGCTCATGAGTAGACCTTTACCAAATCTAAACCAAGCTTATGCCATGATAATCAATGTAGAAAGTCAAAGGATTAATGGAAAAGGTGTGAATAGTGCCAATGATAACAATGAAGCTACTGCAATGATGAGCAATAGGACTCATAATAGTGGTCATAATGGATGATATAATAATCCTGGAGGCTACACCAACACTAACTACTCTGGAGGTTACAAACCTAAAAATTTCTTCAACAAGTCAATAGTTCAATGTGACTATTGTAAGTGTAAAGGTCATACAAAGGAAAATTATTTCAAGCTTCATGGATATCCTAGTGATTACAAGAATAAGAGAAGAGGGGGAACTTTCAATGCTCAGGCAAACAATGTGAACAACAGTCTGAATCATATGGAGAACAGTTATGGACATCTGCCTTCAAAGACACAAGGAAATTAACTGAACTGTCCTACTCCAGCTCAGTTCTTCACTCCAGAGCAACATTAGCAAATTCTACAGATGCTGAACAAGGGCAAAGAGGTTGAAACTGTTGCAAACTCAGCTACTACAGGGACAACAGGTATACTACATGCTTTTATGTCTACTTTGGTGGATCAAAATTGGATAGTAGACACAGGAGCTTTTAATCACATGGTACATAGTCTAAATCTGTTGGACTCTTATGAAGAAGTATCAGAGAAGGATAAAAATAAAGTCCAGTTGCCTACTGGAGAAGAAGCTTCTATTACACACACCGGAATCTGTTCTTTCTTCAAAAATAAGAAAATTCAGAATATACTTCACATTCCAAATTTCAAGTACAACTTACTTTCAGTTTCTAAGATTACAAAAGAGCTACGGTGTTTGGTGGCATTCTTTCCTGACTTTTGTGTCTTTCAGGAACTCTTCAGTGGGAAGGTACTGGGGATTGGTAGAGAAGAACTTGGACTCTACATCCTCAAGGCTGCAGACAGACAAACTCCTGGTCATCATATATCACCAAGTGTAAATACCATTGTTAGTACAAATAAAACTGGTAGTCAGAATAATACAAGCTCATGTAGTGTTTCTTCTTTGTGGCATAGAAGACTAGGACATGATCCTCTAAAGGTACTGCAGAAATTACACAACCTTCAAGGGTTGCTTAGAACTGAACATCAACATTGTACCGTATGTCCTATTGAAAAGCAATCAAGACTACCCTTTCCTCTTAGAACCTCTTGCTCTACTTCTATATTTGATCTTGTTCATGCAGATGTTTGGGGGCCATACAGATTACCCACTCATGATGGCAAAAGATATTTTTTAACCTTGGTGGATGATTTCTCTAAATATATCTGGATATTTCTTTTAACAACTAAGGTAGACACGATCATAGTTTTAAAGAACTTCCTTACAATGGTGTCAAATCAGTTTAAAACTGCAGTCAAGTGCCTCAGAACTGACAATGGCACTGAATTTGTGAATGATCAAGTCCAGCACCTGTTGCAAATTCTGGGTATTCTTCATCAGAGTTCTTGTGTATATACACACCAACAAAATGGAGTGGTGGAGAGAAGGCATAGAACTATATTAGATATGGCTAGAGCTCTCAGGTTTCAAGCCTTTATGCCCCTAAGGTTTTGGGGTGAGTGTGTATCTACAGCAGTATATCTACTGAACAGATTACCCACTTGCCTTCTTCAAGGAAAGTCTCCTTTTGAAGCACCATTTCAGAAGATACCTTCTCTTTAACATCTTAGAGTGTTTGGGAGCTTATGCTATGCAACAAAAGTTCAGAAAGGGGATAAGTTCAGTCCCAGGGCAGTTCCGGCAGTTCACATGAGATACTCATCTTCTCAAAAGGGGTATATTCTCTATGATTTACATTCCAAGGGCTTCTTTGTTAGTAGAGATGCTGTTTTCAAAGAAGACATCTTTCCCTTTAAGCACATGCAACTTGGAACTTCTCCCTTATTTCCTATACTAGAGTTCACAGATGCATCAAGTGACCAGAGTACTAGTCATCCTACTAGTTTACCTACCTCTGATGTTCACCATCAGTCTTCTTCTTCTAGTCCTATCTATGCTGATACTTCTGAACCAACTCCTCTTATTCCTACTTCTGCACCCTCAGTCTCTCATGAAGGTCTCAGAAGATCCTCTAGGCCTTCAAAACCCCCTATATGGCTAATTGATTATGTAGTTCAGCCCATAAAATCCACCTGTTCCTATCTTGTCTCACAACATGTCTCTTACAGTCAACTGTCTCCAGAGTACAGGGCCTCTCTTGCTGCATACTCAGCTATTGTTGAAGCCAGCACATTAAAGGAGGCAAGTGTTGATCCTAAGTGGGTTAAAGCTATGCAGGCTGAGATTTCAGCATTACAAGACAATAACACCTGGTCCTTGGTTGATCTGCCTCAAGGAAAGGTTCCTATAGGATGTAAGTGGGGTTTCAAGGTTAAGTACAAGTCTAATGGTTAGGTGGAAAGATATAAGGCTAGACTTGTAGCTAAAGGCTACAGTCAACAAGAAGGCCTGGACTATACAGAGACATTATCTCCTGTGGCCAAGATGGTCACAATAAGGACTGTGGTTGCCCTAGCTGCTGCATCAAGTTGGTACATTTTTCAGATGGATGTCCATAATGTATTCCTGCAAGGTGACCTTAAGGAGGAGGTCTATATGCAAGTTCCTGATGGCTTTTCAAGCCAAGGGGAGTCTCAAAAGGTTTGTAAGCTGCATAAGTCTTTGTATGGTTTGAAGCAAGCACCTAGGCAGTGGAATCTTAAGCTAGCAGAGGCACTCCTAAACATGGATTTTACTCAAAGCCACTATGACTATTCTCTCTTCACCAAAAGAACAGGAGCTGATCTTGTAGTCATTCTAGTCTATGTGGATGATTTGTTGGTAACTGGTAGCAACCTACTCCTTATTCAGCAAGTCAGAAAAGATTTGCAGGAGAAGTTTAAAATAAAGGATATAGGGGAGCTAAAGTATTTCCTTGGCATTGAGTTCTCAAGGTCTCAGAAGGGTATCCTAATGTGTCAAAGGAAATATACCCTAGAGTTGGTGTCTGAGCTTCGCTTAGCAGGAGGAAAAACAACCTATACACCTCTTGAGTTCAATCACAAACTTACCTCTGTTGAGTTTGATCAAATAGCGAAAAACAGTGACTCTGAAGATGTGCAACTTGAAGAGAAGGGAAATTATCAAAGACTAGTTGGGAGGCTTTTGTACCTAACAATGACAAGACCAGATATAGCCTTTGCTGTTCAGGTACTCAGTTAGTATATGCATGCACCTATGGTCTCTCACATGGAAGCTGCTAAGAGAGTAGTGAGATATATCAAGTCTACACCTGGACTGGGTCTGTTCATGCCAACAGGAAGGTGCAATAACCTAGTAGCCTATTGTGATTCAGATTGGGGAGCTTGTGTTGAGTCAAGGAAGTCAGTCACAGGGTATGTGGTTAAATTTGGAGATGCACTGGTTTCTTGGAAATCAAAGAAACAAGGGACAATATTCAGAAGCTCAGCTGAAGCAGAGTTCAGGAGCATGGCAACCACAGTAGTTGAAATTGTATGGTTGGTTGGACTCTTCAAAGAGTTAGGAGTGGACATTACTCTGCCTGTGCCTCTACACTGTGACAGCAAAGCAGCAATCCAAATTGCTGCACATCCTATTTTTCATGAATGAACAAAACACATAGATATTGACTGTCATTTTGTAAGGGAAAAACTTGTACAAGGACTTATTCAAACTCAACATGTGGGTACAGCAGAACAGTTAGCAGATGTGCTGACAAAGGCCTTGTGCAAACCAGAGCATGACTACTTACTAAGCAAGCTGGGAATGAAGAATGTATTTCATCCCTCAGCTTGAGGGGGAGTGTTGAGAGATGTAGACCCCACCTATTTAACTAAACCATTGTTAGTAGAGTAGTCAGTCTTATACTATACTATAGTGAGTAGTTAGGTTAGTTACAACTAACAAAGTGTATAATAATAGCCTAGTCTTAGCTCAATGTAACAGTGTGTTTATATTTTCTCTCAGCATAATGAAGTAACTGCTGTTTCTGCTTCTTTTCATTTCTTCTCATTTCTTCTTCTTCTTCTCATACATCTGCTTCTGTAACCACCATTGCTAAAGCTTCTTGACAGTTTCTTTCTATTCTCTACTCCATAGCCTCTCTCCTCCACAAAACAACCTTCTCATCAATCCCAAAAACAGTAAAAAGCTTTGCTGGAGTTCAGTCGGAGAACATCCATCCGATGACGCGTCTCCATATTTTTCAGTGAAGAAGCAGAAGAAAACAGAAGCAGCAGCAGCAAATTGGTGACATAATTAACTGGGTATTTTACCAACTTATTATTTCTTTCATACCATGATCTTAAATAATTTTTTTCTTTTAAACTGGCTGGTTTTAAACCTTCTATGCTCTTTCCTATAATTAATTACTCAATAGGCTAAGAATTAACACCAGAGCAAGGGGAAAAATTGAAGAAGCTAAAATCAGAGATGAAAAGAGGGGGATTGCTTGTTGGTGGGGAAGCTTCGGAATTTGGAAACTAAAATTGATGGGTTGAAACAGTCGATGATGGGGTGATCGAAGCGGCGGAGCATCTACGAGGATCGGCGGTGATATCTGTAATTTGCAGCCATGGCGTGGTCGCCTCTCTTTCCGCATCTGTCTTTGCAGATCTGTGCCTCTTAGTTAATTACTTTGGGCTAGCCACTATAATTACTTTTGGGCTATAAAATGTATAATGCAAATTTTGGGCTACCGGGTGATATATGTTTGGGCCGATGGGCTATAAATGAATTTTGCTCAATTAAATTCCTTCCAAGACACTACGAATGGCCCAAAGACAGTGGCGTGAAATTAGAAAAATAACCAAATTTTACAAGTGATAACTAGAGCCGTCAATATGGGCTTGGCCTGTAGAGCCAGCCCAGCCCTGCCCGTGATTTAGCAGGGCTAGGCTAGAATTTTGGAGCCCATTTAAAAATGAGGCTTTTAAGCCCGACCGAGTAAGCTCGTGGCCCGTGAGGCTTGCTTGAGGCTGGGCCGGGACGGCCCGTGGGCCTAATAAAAATACGTTTTTAAAATATATAAAATATAAAAAGTATAAGACACAAAAAATAACAAGAAGAGTATCCCAAGTTTAAAGTTTATTTAGCTCATCATATTATAATATCAAAGTCTTAAAACGTTAAAATTTAATTATTCTCAATATTTAACTAACTAATATTGCATACGAATTGTAGATGTAGAAGAAAGTGAAGCTGTTAAGACAACCTTCTCATAAGCGGATTCTAATGCGTTTGATAAAGATGATATGTTAGATATCCCATAAGCGTCATGGGCGTTCTCTTGAATAGTTTATTTTGATTTTTGGCTTTTAGTGAATGAAATATAGTCTTGTCTTTTACTTTTTTAGTATTTATTGTGATATATTAGAACCGTATAAAAGGTTATTAAGTTTTGTGAATTTTTCCAATAAGATTTTTTTTAACTTTTCTTAGTTTAGAAATTAAACAAAAAAATATAAAATTATATTTTAAAAAATGATGGGACGGCCCGTGGGGGCCCGTAACCCACATAGGGCTGGGTGGGCTGATCATTATAAGGCCCATCAAAATGGTGGGCTAGCTCAGCCCAGCCCGTCAATTGCTAAAGCCCACGTGGGCTGGCTGGGCTAGCCCGACCCCGCCATATTAACAGCTCTAGTTGTAATTGAAAAATAGTCACAGTTTCAACCATGTATTTATCAATATACTCAGATTGAAACGAAAGTGGCCTTTGCAGTAGAGAGAATTGTTTAGCACTGTAAATTTACGACCCAAACAATTCTGATGAACAATTAATAGATCCTACTCTAACACTCATATCAAATCTAGAGCATGTTATTACTATATTAAATGACGTGCTGTTAAGTTTACTATATAATGTTTGGTTATCATTCACGTTTCTCACACAGATACATCTGCTTATCTGCATAGCTTGTTCAGAAATCTATATACTACTATCATATATAGGATAAAATTCTAAATATAAGTAATACCTTGATAACTTAGAGATTCTCAATCAACTGAAAAGTAAAACAAAATTAATATACAGTAAACATAAAAAGATATTGCACCAACTTTCTTGCATTATTTAGAGAAATTAATCAGATTACAACAGAATAACTAGATTTGACTCATGCCTGCTCACCAGGTCCACCATAAACCATCACATGTTTGAAATAATCCCCACCATTAGGAATATCTATGGCATTGTATAAATTAGGGCTGTTTACATATGTTGGCAATTGACCTACATTAATATTGTCACCCTTATCACTTAAAAGTGTAATATTTCTGCAAAATGCGTCATATAAAGTGTTTCTAATGGGAGAAAATCCTGAACCCATGGGAGGTTCACGTATTCCTGGTGGACTATATACGACTCCGCCCCATTGAACGCTTGTTGCATAATATTCAAAGTCGTCAAACACTTCTCGAGGCCAAAAACCAACTGGTATATTAGTGTTTGTGATGAACAACCACCAGTTTCCTTTGTTTAGGTCCTATTTTCAACCAAACAATAAAAGGTCAACGAATAACGAACGATATCGCTTTATGCTTGAATTTTTTTTAAAAAAAAAGAAGAAGAAAATTTACCCAATTTATCGAAAGTTTCGTCTCAAATAATTTCCCTCCACGTTGTGAAACGGGATAAAGTGCTCCATCTACAACTATTTCTCGGTTTACAAGTACAAAGGCAGGACATAACAAGTTGAAACAAGCATTTTTACCATCCTGAAAGTATGAAAAGAAATATTTGAGGGAGCACAAGGAATTATATGAAAAATTTAAAAATCTAACTAATCATATTAGTTAGGGACTTGCCTGGAAATGTATGTATAACCTAGTCGCGTTGTCACCATACAAGGTAGGATCAACCTAAAAGCAAAAGGAAATAGTGTTAAATGTATAAATGGTAGTTCAATTCTTTGTTTAATTATGTAAATAGGAAAAGAACTAATTCGCAGTGAAGAGCTCATTTAACTTACTCTCCAACCAACTTGTATAATATTTGGTCCTTTAACTATTTTCAACCGACATGCACTATGTTGTTGACCTTCGACATGAGGATTATAGATACTAGTTGTCATGGCGCCTCCTCCAAATTTGTTACTCGGATTGTCTTCGGTATGAACGATTGCAAGCTGAAGAAAGTAAAAATATATAGGATCACTTAAATTTGAAAATTCTTCACGAAGAGCTAGGAATACTTTTAAACATAATTTAAATAAATACGATAAATCATGATATGTACCTTGTACCCTTGTAAAGGTTTGTATCTTCTTTTTTTCGAATCAATGGAGTTTTCCCTCTGTGCAAAAGTAAGGTAAGAATATAAGATATATTATATTAAAAAGCTGAATTTAAATTGTGATAGCAAATGGATCTTTGGCATGTTTTGTTTATAAGTTATAACTAGCAATAAACTATAGTGAAATATGAATTGTATTGGAACCAACTTTGTCAATTGAAAATAACATAATCTTACCTGAGTAAGTGGACTGTCGACCATTATATCTTCTGGTGGGGGCAAAAGCTTATGTCTAATAAGATCTTCTTTCGTTGTTCTTCTGATAGGAACAGTTCCAACAGGACAACCTCCATCCGGTAATCTTATTCTTGGCAACTCATTACTTGTCGATATAATTGAATCACTCTCTTTCACATATGAAGAGGGTTTCATCTGCTCATCCGAAATTTCTTTTTATTATTCATCACTTATTTTCAAAATTGAAAATAAAAATTGATTATATTGGCGGCAAACCTGAGGATGGTAATTGTGATTCTTTAATAATGGATGATCAAAGGCATGTTGTTTATAGAAGTCCACACAATCATATATATCACCATATTCAGTCTGTTAATGAAAAAATTGAAATATTAATGATTTACATTATATCAAAGAGGCAAAGAGTATAATTAATTAGCAGTATATGCATAAAAAAGTGGGCGTATGATATGGATGTAGATTTTAATGAAAAGGTCATTTGAGAAACGAAACAATTATCTCCAAGATAGGTTAATGGTAACAGAGTTATCAGAAATTCAAAAATATCCGCGGAATAAAGAACGAGAGAACTTAAAAATAATAAAATGCAAAATTAAGTTACAAAGAGGAATAGGAGCCCGTTTGGATGGGCTTGTTGTAAGTGACTTTTAAGTCAAAAGCCATAAGTTAGGAATTCTAGCTGTTGGCTTATTTTCGCCATTTTAGCTTAAAAAATGAGTGCTTAAAAGCACTTTTTGACTTTATCAAAATACTACAAAATGACTTAAAAACTATTTTGCCTTAAAAACACTTAAAATAAATCAATCCAAAGAATTACCAAAAAGACATACCTTAATCGTTTTAATGGCAGGCTTATTTAGAAGTTTTAGTTGCTTCTCCAACTCTTGATCTTCTTGTTCGTCGGATAACTTTGTTCCTCGAACACCATCATAGCTCAAGCATAGAAAGAGAATCAACAAAACTTGTTGCATAATAGTCGTTCGACTCATTGTCATTTTCTACATTATAAAAAGAAGGTTCACTTAGAGATGTGTGTATAGGAAGATGATTTATTTCAAATAAATACATTGCTAATATGGAGCCAAACATTCATAAAATTTCACATATATCAAACTAAAGTAAATTAAAATAGTAGAAAGAAGATCATCACTTACTTGATTCACCAATACTCTTGAGGTTGAATTTTTCTATCGGCTCTTGCCTAAGCTACTATCAAGAAGATTTTATACTTGTTAGGATTTTAAGTGTATTCAATTCGTCTTGTAAGAGTATTAAAGATTGTCTAATACTTCTATGTTTTTATGCTCTTACCTTTTGTGGAGGGAAAAGTGTGAACTAGTGCAATGACATTACCATAAGGAGATTATTTAACTAAAGTAGAAAAATAATTTCCATTTTTGGAAGGTTTATTTCTTCATTGATTAATGGATTCATGAAGCCGATTCTGGAAACTCATAGATGATTATTTGAAAATTAATGAATCTTAAATGGTTGTCTTCTTTAGTTTTTTCAAGAGTTGAAGTAGATTTCTTGGCTCCTCTCGATTTCTTATTGTCTACATTTCCCAAATTTTTATTTGGACGGGTGACACATGAGATAATTGTGGTAGTCAAATCCAGTAAATTTTTAGGAGTATACCGATTCGTAGCTAGGATTTTTGTTGTCCAAATTAATTTTATTTTATATTAAAAGATGATTAATGTTTGAATATTTTATGCGGTAGCTAAATATTAATTAGCCGTCTAAAAAGTTAGCTATTTGTTGAAGTTTGAACTCCGTATGTTCCTCAAAATTCAAATTACATTACGAACTAATTGTAGAAATAGGACACCTTAAGGGGTGCTCTTGAACTTTTGGTCCCGCTAAACAAAATCTTCAAAAATAATCTCACTTTATTTGAGTATTTTCTAACAACTGGCTCTCATGTAAACCCTCGTTCTCTGTCGCTTCAACTTCCGCCATAGACTCTTCACTAAATCACCTTCTACTATAACCAGTCATAAGATTCCTCCTACATATGTCTGCTTCTAATAACTTTCAGTTATCCCACCATAAACTCGAGGAACCACCAGACCTCACCTTGATGCAAATCGATGACAACCCTATACATCATAAACCAGCTTCTTTCCTGCAAACATTCCTTACAAACAAATACTTATCTCCATCAATAAGCAATCATCACCGAACCTTACCTAACCACGACTTAACTGACGAGTTAATCCAAGACACAGACGAAGATGATAATTTCATCCCAATAACAACTACTGATAAGACGCGTTTATATGAGCCTTGGAAATACTCAGTAATTGTTAAGCTGTTTGGCAGAAGAATTGCACATCATCTACTAAAGACTAAGCTTAAGGAAATCTGGAAGCCTACCGAAGAACTCCCTATTATTGACTTAGGATCGGATTTCTTCCTTATTAAATTTCAACAGGAAGATAATATGCTAAAAGCTCTTCAGGGAGGTCCGTGGTTTATTTTAAACCACTTCTTATCAGTATGTAGGTGGGAACCCAAGTTTACAGCCTCGTCCACCCAACTAACATACTCGGCCATCTGGGTGAGGCTTCCTGAGTTGCCAACGGAGTTTTATGATGTAGAGATTCTGCAACGAGTTGGATCCAAACTAGGACAACTCTTGAAGATCGATACCTGTACCTCCACAACCACGAGAGGACGTTATGCACGTATTTGCATAGAGGTACCTCTGGAGCGACCCCTCAAATCCTACATCAACATAGGTAATCCCTAAACCCTAAACCCTAAACCCTAAACCCTAAACCCCAAACCCCAAACCCCAAACCCTAAACCCTAAACCCTAAACCCTAAACCCTAAACCCTAAACCCTAAACCCTAAACCCTAAACCCTAAACCCTAAACCCTAAACCCCAAACCCCAAACCCTAAACCCTAAACCCTAAACCCTAAACCCTAAACCCTAAACCCTAAACCCTAAACCCTAAACCCTAAACCCTAAACCCTAAACCCTAAACCCTAAACCCTAAACCCTAAACCCTAAACCCTAAACCCTAAACCCTAAACCCTAAACCCCAAACCCTAAACCCTAAACCCTAAACCCTATGGTTTAAGGACTCTTCAGATGGTGGTATTAGTATTATGTACTCACTCCATCGGAGAAAACTTAAATCTAGCTTATAATAGGGTTACAAACAGGTTTAAAACACAGAAGCAAAAAATCTGCAATTTATCAAAAATGAAAGCAGGAATAGCAAATGAACAAGCACAAGATTGGGGCTTTTTAGTTACAGTTCTGACTGACAGTAAATACAAGATACATATTCGACTAAATACAAGATACAAAGGAAAGGAGTTCACGAAATCGACTAAAGACTACATAGGCATCCACTTTAAGGTTCAGCAAGAGGGTGTATTGGTACCAGAAGAGTTGTGCTTCAGGGCTTTCACAGCAGGTGCAGTAGCTGGACAGATGATTGATGAGCTTCAAAAACACTTCCACAACACGAGACATACAGCTCCAGGTACATGCATGAAGATTCAAAGAAGCAATGGAGTAAGTATAATCGATTGGAGCAAGGATGAAGAAGAAAAAGCACAAAACAATGAGAGAGAGAATCGATATTACCTGGGTGATGTTCATGAGAGAATCGATGAGGTCCAAAATTGGTCGACGGAGCCTCTGAAACTGTTGGAACACAGGGTATTCAGAGCAGCAGAACAGGAGATCTATGAGGTCCATTCTCACTTTACCAACATGAGCACAATGATTCGGAGACATACAAGCAGATTCAAATAAGAAATAGAATTAGTCGGGTAGATTTGAACAAAAATGAAGAAGATATTAGAGAGAAGGAAGAGAGAGGATGTCGATACTACCTAAGTCGGCTACCTGTGGAAATGAATGGACAAATAGATACAGAATGGAGGATAAGTGTAATAAAGAGCAGTATAGTGGGATACACGCGTACAGTAGGAAAGCTGAGTGTACAGAGGCTATTTTTGCAAATTCAGAGAGAGGAAAATGGGCTTTTCGT